GGTCTCCCCACTCTCACAGGGGAGAATTTCCTCCCAATATCTGATCTAAATCTGCCATCTTTGAGTTTAAATCTGTTGCCCCTTGTCCTATAGAAAAACAAAGTTTTCTCTGCTTTCTCTGTTTTCTCTGCTGGAGGAAATGTGCTAAATCCTTTGGAATTATATTTTTTTAATAATGAATCGATCTGTTTTCCCAAGGAAAAAAATTTTTCAGTTACAGTTCATTTTCCTCATTAAAAAACCCAAACAAAACCCAAGCCCGAAACAATGGCATGTACACAAACTTTCTGACTCTGCTTGCTCTCATAAATAAACTGCACCTCCCCAGGGAGGTAAAAACCACCCAAAGGAATATTGGAGAGACACTTCTGCAAATTCCTCTTGCAAAGCCAAGATTTTGACTGAACTTTTAGGAACTCGACTTTTTGTGCTGCTGGGACCAACAGTGCAGCTCTTTGCTTGGTGAGTGCTGAGGGAGAGGTGCACAGATGCTCCTTCCTGGAGGATTAACAGCAATAATAAATGATAACACTGCCCTTAGTGATGGAATTGCTGACAGAGCTGATAAAAATTAGAAAAGGAAATACAACTTTATCTTGGAGTGAATTTATCACATTTATTATAAAGGTCCAGAAGGAGGAAGGTTTTGCAATTCAGTGGCAGATTGGGAAATTGCCATGCTCTTCATTTCTGAAGGTTAATGTAAAGGTGAATCTTTCAGTGCACAGGAGAAATTAGCTTGTAAACACTTAGGGACAGAACTGATGTTTTTGTGTGTTGCTCAGCTGTGTTAGGGCAATGTGTACTACTTGAGGTCTCTCTGCATCACCCAGTGAGAATAAACAACAGGAATTATCAAGGAGGAATGGTGAGTGCTTTGCTTGTGATATTTACTGCTGGGAAATGGAAAAAAAAAAAAAAAAAGAATAATGCAGCTCTAAAAAGGCCCTGCACTCAAAGGGTCCTTGTAAGGAAACACTGAGTGTTGCACAGTGCTACAAATCCTCTCTGCCAGCAGATTCTCTCCTCTCACCACAAGGCCTGAAGTGACAGTGGCACCTGTGCTGGGTGAGCAGTTACTGGCAGGGCTGGGACTGCAAAATAACTCCTGATGTCTGGGGAAGGCCAACTGCAGGCAATTCCTACAGCCATTTCCCTGCTTTCCACGAGCATTCGTGTGCCTGACTACTCTTTGTTGCAGAGAGATTTTAGGGAGGGCATTGGAAGTGTGGGAATGTGGGTGTTTAGTGTGTGTGACTGCTTTTGGGCAAGCCCCAAGTGTCTATACCAGAATTATTCACGAAGCTTCTTGATCTGGATTCTCAGTTTTCTTTGTGGGGCAAGTGGACCTGGAAAAGCAGTGAGAGGCCTCAGTTTTTTTCTTTTTATTGCCTTGGTTTCAGTAGTTGCTCTTTTACACAGTGTAGGTGTGGAAAAGACAAGTGAGCCCTTGGTGCAGCTTTAATATTCCTTTTGATGATGGAGTGACCCACCATTTCTGAGTATATTTACTTGGTTTTCAGTTTTCATTTCTTTGTCTTCAAAGCCTGGCTCATGTTGATCTCACCTGTAGAAAAAGTTGAAATAGTGGATGTGCATTGAAGGCTACACGAAATCTTACCAAGTTTTCTGAATACAGCAGTCTTGATCAAAAAGAAAATAAATATACAGGTGAAAAATGTGACCTAAGAGTTTGCATTATTCAAAGGACTCCTGTATGGTTTGTTTTTTTAAATGACCTTTAATAGGATTATATATGTACGTTTTATTATATTGAATCTGGCATACCATTCGAACCTAAAAAAAACTTTTGATAGCTGTAGTTAATGATTTCTACTTTGAAGCTGAACATATTTTCACCATATGGCAAGCATTTAATTTTTCCTATTTTTCTAGTGGAGATCAAATGGAAATGGTTATTTGGTTTAGCAAAAGCCTTCAACCCCTCTGTGCTGCAAGTCAAGGGTTCTGCAGGATTATTCTTCCCTGCCATCCCATACTTTTCTTTAACAGCTTGCTCCAAAACCTGGAGAACCCAACAAAGCACCTCTCCAGGGAAGACACTTTCAGAAACAGCTAGCAGCTTTCTTATCACCAAACTGATCCAAAATCAAACCCAAAACATCCTGAAAGTGCCATCTGCTGTTTACTTACACGAGACCAGCATCCACGGAAAAGGAGCTGTGCCAAGAAAACAGCTAAATTCCATAACTGCTGCTAAACTTTGAGCCTTGCCCAGTGCCTCAGTGGCTAAATCCCAACCTAATTAAGGTTGTCTAGAGGAAAAAGTTGTAACCTGTGGAAGAGGCTTTGCATGACAAGACAGTGGTGCCTCCTGGATGCATTAAAACCCACCTGGGAACAAGCTAAACTTCAGTGGTTTTAAGTCCTTTATAGTTATTTACGGTGCCATTCTTTCTATAAAACTAATTATTATTGCCAATCCCTTACACCATATCATTTAGACACACCCCCCTCAAAAAAAAAAATCACATTTTTCCTATAAGAGAGCATTTATATTGTTAAATTTAAAAATTGCAGCTTCTGGAGCTCATTCTTCATTGGAGGCAGGTAAGCAACTTAACTGGGCTGCTCACATGCTCTGTTTTAGCCACATGCTTTAATTTCTGTGCAGCAGTTGGGCCAAAAAAAGCAGGTTTATATGGAAATGAGGGAAATTAAAAAGTTCTCATCTAATTCACCATCCATTGTAGAGCTGTTTTGTAGCTCCCTGTCTTGGCTTCTTGAAAGAAATTTTGGTACTTTTCTGGTGGAGTTCAAACCTACACCACAATTCTATGCTGAGGCTAAAATTAGGAAGCAGTATTTGTTTTCATGCTTTGAAGTATCTTTAGTTGAGTAACTCTGCCATGAATACAACATAAACTGTGATATTTGTACATTCCAGATTCATGCCTGGGAAAAAAAAAAAAATTCTACAGGTAAAGAATCACCCAGCAAGGAGAGAGGAGCTTTTGATTCCACTCTCTGGAGGAGTGTTTAAGAAAATTTAGCCCAGTTCCCTAAAAATCAGGTTTTATGGTCCTGTGTCGTGGAATCATAGAATAGCCTGGATTGGAAGGGACTTTAAGGATCATTTCATTACATCCCCCTACCACAGGCAGGGACACCTTCCACTTATCCCAGGTTGCTCCAAGCCCCGTCCAACCTGGCCTTGGACACTTCCAGGGGATGGGGCAGCCACAGCTTCTCTGGGCAACCTGTGCCAGGGCCTGCCCACCCTCACAGGAAAGGATTTATTCCTGATATCTAATCTAAACATGCTCTCTTTTGGTTTGAATCCATTCCCCCTTGTCCTGTCACTGCATGCTTTTGTAAACAGTGTCTCTCCACCTTTCCTGTCGGCTCCCTTCAGATGCTGGAAGGTGTCCACGTGCCTCTTCATCCATCAATCTCCCCAGTTATTTTTGAAAGCACTGCCCTATCATCACAGAACTTGACAAGAGACTAGATATCCCCAGGGTAGAAAATTTCCATATGGCATAAACCATGTCTGGTTTTGCACAGGAGAGAAATCACTGGGATATCTCCACATGGAGAAAGGCAGAAGTAAAAGCTCACCTGAGCAACTCCTGAGGTGAGCCAAGTAGAAACCAGGAGCCCAACTCTTCTACTGCAGTTCTGAAAGAGTTTTGAACCTAAATTTGGCATTTAGAATAAAACTCTATTTTTTTTTAAATTATAATAAGTATTTCTGTTATTACAGTACGAGAGCTTAGATTGCACTTGATGTAGTGAAATTGTGTTTGCTTTTAAATCAGTGGGAACTTCAGCACAGCCGAGCCAGCATTTCTTGACGTGGTATCTTCTCGAGTACAAAGTGCAGCTGGGAATCCATCTGTTGCTTTGTTTTGTTTTGATTTGCTCCCCATTTTTGCATTGCTTGGCTTGGCTGTCAAGCAGAGGGGGAGCTCGGGGTAGGAAGTTGTTGCTGTATCTGTCATCTCACCTGAAGCAGTTCTCGAGGTTTCTATAAACTGTATATTCTTTGGCTCCTCTACAAAAATGTGAGAATATTCAGATAGAGCTGTAACTGATGCTACATCCGCTTCTTGGAAAAAAAGATTCAATGTAAAGATTAATCAAGAGAACAAAAGACCTTTCTTCACTTTCATTTATTCATTGCATGTTCAGTTTACTTTTTATCACTCTTGGAGCAAAATACTCCCTACACACAGCTACATCTCTGTGAAAACAAACCTTTCCATTTCAGCTGTGTTACAGGAACTAACTGTGCAGGTTTCCACCCATTTGCTTGAGACATGGAGAACTAATCCATGTGAAAATGTAAAATGATGCAGCTGCCCCTCATTTAAAAAATAATAACATCCTCACAAACAAACAAGCAAATAGAGTTTGTTTTTCTTCCAGGAAAATCACATACTTTCAATTTATGTATTTTAATTTCCATGGTTTCCTTTTTAAAGGAAGGTTTATTTTCTCTTCCCTCTGTCTCGCATGATAAATGGTTTCTCATTAAAATGTAATTTTCGTTCTTCCTTTGGCTATTGGATGTCACTGCCTTGAACAAAGGAGTCTTCACATAAGTCATTACACTTTCAGTCTTTCATTTTTCTGTCAAAATCCTAAGGCTACAGTTGTAACAGCATGAATTCTAGCCTTGAAAGACACAGATTGTCCTTAATTCTATTAATGTGTTAATCATATTTTGGGGCACTATGGCCCTTGAGGGGTGAAGCTCTTCACTGTACTTAAATAGTGATATTACAGCTCTGATATTGCTGCAGGAAGGTGGCATTAACCAGACTCCACCCCTCCAAATCTCAGGGAATCAAATCTGATCTCTAGGGGGGAAAGAAAAAGAGGCAGAGAGGGAGAGAAGGAAAAGGAGGGAGGAGAAAGACAGAAAGGAAGAAAAAGGAAGCAGGAAGGAAATGAAGGTGTAATTTGGGTACAGAGTAAAATCAGAAAGCACCAATGAGGAAGATGTAAATTGATTATTTTTTTTTTTCCCCTAGTGCTTACCAGCAGCAGGAGGACTGTGCACACTGACAGGAAAGATCCTGGTGTGGGATGTGAGGGTTGCACAGACCAGTGACCTGACACCATGAGACAGAGGCAGTTTGCAGAGGAGGCCTGTGCATCTCCAGGATGAGCCAGCAGAACAGCATAAACAAGGTACAGACACACAGGACCTGCTCTAAAACCCACAGAGGTGCTGTCTCCTCTCGCTGTCTTTGAGAGGATTTCACTCAGGTCCGCCAGGCAAAAGGCATCAGAGCTCATTTCCCCTTTCCCATCAGCCCTTCCACATTTCCTTCGCCTCAAGCTTCTGTGGGGTGAGCCAGTAAATGCTGAGGGAGCAGGAGCAGAGCATTCACGTTCTGCAGAGCTGCTGTTCCCATAACTCCATCCTTTAGCACCAACGCTGCCTCAGTGGCTCTGAACTCGCCAGGAGGCTGGCACAGAACCAGCAGCCAAGCCCAGCATCAGACACACCACAGAATGCACGACTAAAGGGGTTTTCTTGCTCTAAAACCTTCTGGCAGAGTGAGATGGGTGGTGGTGGTGGTGGACATTGTCCTTCAGTGCATTGCAAACTACGGACTGCACAGCAAACACAACTTTCCTCCGCTCCCTCCCACCCACATTTTACCACCTAAGCTCTGATGGAGGTGCTTGCAGGATGTGTCAGCCCTGTGCTCATGGATTGCCTGTATTTCCCCTTTAAAATATTATTTTCATTTTCCAGGTGCTGCTGGCTGCCTGCCTGTGTACAGTACATCCAAGTTTGTTTTTCCAGCAGCCACCACTGCTGTGGGAGCTCTCTCAGAGGCTGAGATTCCCAAATGCAGGAAGAGTGAACACATAAGCTCAGGCAATATTTATAGGAGTTTCAGCTAGAAACGGGAGTGCCAAACGTAACTATTTTGTTTTCATGTTTTACTTTTGTATTGCTCAGTCAAAACAAGTTAATTTTAAATGGAATGTTTAGATTTTGGAGAAAAAAAACAAACAAACAAACCAAAAAACAGAGTAGCTCTTTGTGAGGAGTTATTTTTAGTTTCACCAACCCAAAACAACTGACAGAGGAGAGTTCTGATTTCTGCTGTCTATAAACCCTTTAGGTTTAGACCTTGCAGTGTTATTTATTACCAAATAAACTTTTGTATTGCTTTTTAAACCTCTCTAGTCAAGGATTTACTCCTGGATGAGCACTCACAATCACCCCATAATACAGCACAGCAGAAGCCAGTGCAGACAGAACCACGTTGCTGAAGCATGAAATCCCACCCAGCAGCACGGAAAAGGCTCCTGCTAGGCAGAAGTCCCACTGGATTTTGGAATGGAGACTGCTCCTGAATTGCCATTCTGTGAGAGAGAGACGTGGTCAGTGTCAAAAATGATATTTATTTTACCCTCTTAACATTTGTTCTGTCAGGATGTGGCTGGACTGGATAGTTTAATGCAGAGGTACTTGAGGGAACTCCTTTCCTCCTGACCTGTATACCAAAAATATCTTGTCCATGCAGCTTCACCTTGAATAATTGGCCCAGGTACACTTATTTGTGAGAATGTATTTCTGTAGATAGAAAAAAAAACCCTGCCAAGACACAGACAGTAATAACATGAGAATAAAAAACTACTTACGTTGTTTCTTTAGCAGACTTAGTATATTCTAAGGTGATGAAGACCATGGGGATGGATTTACATGGATGAGTTATCCCACAGAACTCTGAGAACTAACCCAACCTTTTTACCTGTGTGATCCTAAAACAGCACAAACCAGGACAGTGTAAACTGGACTAAACTCTCCCTGTGAGTTTTAGACCAGGTAGCTGAGGTATTGCTGACGTGGACACAGGAATGGACAATCACTGAACTAATTACAGGCTGCAACACCAGCACTTTGGGTGAATTCAATGCCTTTTAATGAGTCAACTGAAGATGCTTTTGGTTTTGTTTCAGAACAATGTGAATCTCATGGTGTGGTTTGATTTCAATATGAGCACAGGTGAGACTTGTTGGATTAGACCGAATTTTGGCCTGAAAGGCGCTGTTGGTTTTGTTTTCCTAAGCCAAGTAGAGGCAGAGTAGAAATGCACTAACTATTTGTTTCTGTGACTGTAAATATTAAATCTTGGGCTCTGGCCTTTGCAAACTGAGCTGTGGGTTTGTGGTTTGGTGCATTTGCAAATCTCAGGCCACACTAAGAAAAACTGAGCAAACACAGGCTGAGGCTGTTGGCGTTGCTGGGAAGTCCTCAGATCCCTCTTCTCAGCTGGCTCCTTCCCTCCCTTGCAAGGCCTGAGTGTCCCAAAGGTTTATGTGCATGGGAGCAGTAGAAAGGGCAGGGAAGCTTTAAATGTGTGGAAGTTTTTATCTGAGTGTCAATGGTTTAGTTTAAGAAGAAATCAGGGTGAGCAGAGAGCTGAAGCTTCAGTGCTCCAAGCAATAGGGACAGGGTGCATGATCAGAAGGATATCCCTGCATTACTCTCACCCTCAAACCCAGAGTTCAGACAGTGCAGTTTAAAAATTGGAGAGAGGAATGGCTAACCTGCTTCCTGAAATTCCCATCATCCATCTACATGAGGAAAGAATGAGAGCTGGTTAAAGAAAATCTCCTGAGAAGTTGTTTTGTGTTTTCCTGCTTGTCGGGAACTGAGGGGAGAGGAACTTGTATCTTCATATATAGAAGTTAAAATAGTCATTTAAAAGTACTGTTGCACAAAAATAATCCTGCAATAAGTCAATAACCCTCAAATAATTCATACATTCAGAGAGCCAACATGACTTCAGGAAAGAGGCAAAGGGGAGAAGAGAAAGGGGAAAACTGGGGTGGAAGATCACGAAGGGAAAGGAAACAACTGTGAGGAATTAAAGGTGAAGAAAAGGTCTGAGAAATAAAGGGTGCTAAGGTAAAACTCTTCCCTTTGTTCTCATCCAGGATATGTGTCTGAATCACAAGATTCTTATAGCTTTTGACAGTGCTGGATGCAACACAAACACCTGCACCTTCCCATGACAGTGAGCTTGGTTTGGGTCTCTCATTACTGTCTGTGAAGTAAACATGACCATAAAAAGGGGAAAGTTTATTTTATTTCGTTTCAGTTCTTTTATTTCCACCCAAAGTAATTTTATTCTTTACACATTTCTTCCCATGCCAGTGGCCTTGCTTTCCAGCCTTCTGACTTTGGCAAGAAGCAGCTTAAGTCAATAAAAAAGGGCTCCAAGTGTCATGCACAATAAAGACTCATTTACAGTTTTCCAAATGACTGTAAAGAAAAATTTACCGAAAAGCAAGGAAAGAGCTCATATCTAGAAATCAAATCTCTCTGCTTGTAAAAGTCAGAGGTTAAATTCTTTTATTAAAAAAAAAAAAAAGCTCTTACATGCATTTTTTCAGGCATGCCCTGTCCTAGCTTAAATATTTGAGAGGAGGGAAGTCACTGGGATAGGAAAAACATTTCCACAGGCACATGTTAGAAATCTGCAGCACAAAATTAAATTACTTCCCTCTTTTAAATGACATTTCTAATTTTCACTTATCAAGTACTATGAGCTATTACACAACTTTTGAAAGGCAAAAGGAAAAGTAACAAAACAGCAACAAAAGACACATCCCAGTGTGTATTTATTTAACTTTGTAATTCAAGTCGGTCCAATTGTGCTGCAGGGTGTTTAGTTTATGCAACGTTGAAGTTTGAAAACTACACCCAGAATTATTTTTGGGTCATATTTGTAAGATATATAACACAGGAATGATTGATTTATTTGCATGTTTTGAGGTTTTGTATTCTGCTCAGCTTGTGCCTCAATTCTGATGCAGGCAGGCTTTAAAAAAAAATCATATTGATAACAAAAGGAGAGGAATGTCTTTATCTAACTTCCATTTTCTATTATGAAGACTGCATTTTAAAAGTAAGCATTGACTTTTATGTGGTCAAAATTCGAGTCTCTCTATTGACTTCCACAAGCTGAAGGAAAAAGATCTGTGACTGCTTTTCCTACTTGCCCAAAGCAGATCCATAAAATAACTGCTCCTCTCAGGCCATGGTTGGTTTCATATTCCCATTAATTTTACTGTGTGAAGGTCTGGTCTGCAGAGAGATAGAGTTCATTATTTCATATTTAGTGGTCACCTTAATGCATCTGCTTAATCATACAGCTCCTGGTCTGAAAGAGTGGCATATTTGGATGTTCACACACCATTTTCCTTTGCTGGGAATTGGGAACAAACCTCCACCACCCCTCCCAGAAGCACAGTGAGTATTGGCCATATTGCAGGACTGGGTGTTTGCTGAATGCCTGACCACAGGAGGCTTTTCCTGCTGTGTCCCAGTGCAATGAATACTTTGTTGTAGGGTGGCCTTTCAGCTGGGCCCTGCTAAGTCTGTTTATCTTAAGTCAAGAACTTTTTTTTTCCCTTTTTTTCTTTTTTTTTTTCTTCCTTGCCTCATGACCTGCCAGTGAGGAGGTTTGCAAAAGAAACTGGGAAGGAGCACAGCTGGGAAAGGTGACCTGAACTGGCCAAAGGGATTTTCCACACCACAGAACATCATGCCTGGTATATAAACTGGGGAGGAGTTACCCAGAAGGACAGCAGAGCTGGGTGTGGTCAGTGGGTGGTGAGCAATCCATTGTGCACCACTCGTTTTTCCCTTTTTATTATCATTCTTATCATATTTGACCATTGTTACTGTGTTTTACTTTATTTTCAATTATTAAACTGTTCTTATCTCAACATACAAGTTTGGCTTTGATTCTCCTCCCCATTCCCCCGGGGTGGGAGGGAGGGAGAGAGAGGGGGCTGAGCGAGTGTCTGTGTGGTGTTAATGTCCAGCTGGGCTCAAAACCACCACACTAAGGCAGAAGTGGGGAAAGTGAGGTTGCTCCACCACCTTTTCCCCTTTGCTGTATGTGAGGAGGAGGGATTTGGGATGAGCTGGTCAGCCCTGCTGCCCACCAGCCCTGGGGGTGCAGTGTCCAGTGCACAGCAACCCCTCCATCTGCATCCCAAGGCAAGCAAACAACTGTGGGGGGCACAGGCTCCCCCAGAGCAGCTCCTGCTCCATGCAGGGCTCTGTTCCAAGGTCCCTCGTGCCTCAGGGAATCACAGGCTCCATTTCACACCAGGGGCTGGAGAAGGGGCCGTGCAATAACCCGGAGCACACCTGGAGATGCCAAAGCAGGCCAGGACTTGCCCGATTGCCACGAGACCTTCCAGCCTTGCAAACCAAACCCGAGCACCCTGCATGTGTTTGAACTGTAAAACTATATCCCTGTTTCTTTGTTTTAGGCAATTTGCCGCCTGTCATTTGGACGAGGGCACGTTCTTGTGGCTTCAGGGAGCTTGCCCATTCGTTTTGTGGAATATACAAGCAAATACTTCCCCAGTCAGCACTCCTCAAAGACTTAGACTGACTTCTTTGTCCCTTTCCCAGAGTTAATTCACAATAAAATGGGTTCTGTCCTTCATCAATAACATGGATCATTTTGCTTCACTGTTGTTGAATATCCCCAAAGACTGACATGCTCATTTCTGCAGTTGTTTTATTCATGCTAAGACAGAGATGTTTCCATAGCATCATTTCTCTATCACTAAATACAAGACTTCACTAAATGGATAACTAAGGATATATATCTGGATATGAGCAGCTGGATTAAGAAGTGTTGCATCAAGGATCCTGCTTTCATAGACAACCAGAGAAATACCATAGAAAAGAAAAAAGAAAAGTATAAGAAAGCACCAGCCCTAGTCATGAATTTATTTCCATGATGGACATGCCCTGGATTTTGCATTCACAATTTAAGTTGTTTAAGATTCTGAACATTTGTTGCTTACCACCTGGAGGAATTTAGGTTATTTGATATGGGAACTTTAGACCTATTTCATACTCCCATTATTTTTTCCCCCTGTAAAATAAGGTTTATGAAACCCCCTAAGTGGTGAGAAACAAACCTACCTATAGACTTTAGCCATACAAAGAAACAGAAATACATAGAGCAGGCTCTGACCCAAGAAATGGTGCTTTTCTTTCTGAACTACCAAAATGCACCATTTGACAAAACCCATACTCTCAATCTAGTCCATCCAGATGGTGGCCCTGAAGCTCATGGCAATGGCAAGATGTTCTATTTATCTTTCCAACATTTGTATCAGCGTGTCCAGTGGAATCAATGGAAAGAACCAAATATCTTTTAGACTGCTCTGGAAGGTGTGGGTATGACCACTGAAGAGCTGGGCTTTTGGCACCATCCTAAATAAATCCATGGCTGAGAAATGCTACTGAGTAGCAGAGTTTGAGAGAGAAAAAAAAATATGGAATCTAGCTCTGTTTGCATCCTGTTAATTTATACTGATCTATCCAGTGGCAGAAT